TATCGACAAAAATTTATTTATTTATTTATTATTAACAATACGGGCAGAGCCCAATTTACATAATATGATAACACTAATTAAATTTTAATTATGATAACAACAATAACTGTAGTGACAATAATTACTAATTTACTAATTAAAACACAAATAACATAATAAAAAACACAACAAATACTACATAAACGATGGATCACTATTTACCATACGTATCATTCTAAGAACTGGCTGGTTCTCAGAATAGTTGGTGTTGCATTTAGGAATAAAAAATGGATAGATTTGACGGACAGAAGAGCAAGGAACTTTAAAGTTAATCATGGATAATAAAACAGAAGAATTAATATAGCCATCAATTAGTAGGTGRAGAAATTTCAGGTTAGCAACCTTTCTTCTATCAACTAAAGAAGATAAACCAAGTTTATTTAAAATTGGGTTATAATCATGAGGTGGATGGTCGATACTTAAAATAAATGGTGCATAATTTAGAAATTTACGTTGTACTCTTTCAATTTGATCCTTACCACAAGAGGTGGAAGGATCTCAAACAACAGCACCATATTCTAAAATAGACCTTACGCAAGCACAATATACCTAAGGTTTTTATGGGAGAAGTTAACTTAAACTCATAACGAATTCTTTTAATAAAACCAAACATTTTTATGGCCTTGCAACATACATTTTCCAAATGGTAATGGAAATTTAACTCTCGGTCAAACGTGATACCTAGGTCCAAAACTTTATTTTCAGATTTCTCTAAAGGATTAGCATTGATCGAGTAGGAATAATCAAATCTATCACGAGTTCTGTAAAACAACATTGAGTGACGTTTCAAGAAATTGAGTTCAAGTCGATGTTCATTTGCCGAAGTTACTAATGAGTTGATATCATTTTGTAGTAGATAACAGTCATTAAGAGAATCAATTTTTWAAAATAATTTTAGATCATCTGCAAATWGAAGAAAATGACTGTGACTTATAATCTTTTTAATATTGTTAGTAAATATAGCAAAAAGTAAAGGAGAGARGTGACCTCCTTGAGGAACACCAGAAGTTGCATCAATAATAACAGACTTACTACCATGAACATTAACAATTTGCTTACGATCTCGAAGATACGACTGAAACCAAGACAACAATGGTTCTCCAAACCCAGAATTAAGCAAAACCTCAATTAKTAATGTATGATCAACTCGATCAAAAGCTTTGGAAAAATCCATATAATATATAACATCAACCTGTGAACGATTGTTAAATGYATCAAATACATAACTAGAAAAGACAATGTTACAAGTGTTAGTTGACCAACCAGGACGGAAACCGTGTTGTTCATCGATTAGGATTGAATTAACTGCAGGACTAATTGAGTTTAAGACTAATGAGTCAAATAATTTATCTATATGTCCTAATAATGAGATTGGACAATAGTTGGCAACATTCGACTTATCACCCGATTTATAAATAGGTTTTACAGTGCTAAGTTTTAAAATATCAGGATATATTCTTTCATCTAAGGATTTACGAAACAAAAGTGACAAAGGGTAGGATAATACTGATTTTAACATATACATAAATTCTCCAGAAAGTCCATCAGGACCAATTGACTTGTCACCACTCAATTTAGATAAACCTGATTCAATCAAAGATAACTCAAAAAAGCAATTACTAGGTAAATCATAAAATAAATGTGGGATAGTTGAGTTATGATTAACACTGTGTTCAGTGTAAACAGAACTAAACTTCTTAGCGAACAAAGCTGAAACTTCTTTATCATTAGARCTAGTTATATCATTAAAATGAACTGTTTTAGGTATGTCATTGCTTGATTTATTTTTCTTTATACATTTCCAAAATACTTTTGGATTAGAACAGAGTTGTGATTCAGTACGTTCAATAAACTTTTTATAACAGTTTTTTGACATTAGTTTATACTTAGCACGAAGCAATGAAAATTCACGATAGTTGAGAGGGTACGAGAAGGYTTAAAGATTGCATGGGCTCTTCTCTTTAAGAAAACTAAATCAATTAGGTCCTTGGAAAACCAAGAAGGAAAATTAGACTTAGTGTAATAAACACGAGGAACCCATTTCAGAACAGAAAAATGTAAAGCATCATAAAAAGTAGACATAGCTAAGTTAGCATCAAGATTAAAAAAATTTCACTCCAATTAAAAGAGCTTAAAAATTCTTTGATACGTATTCAGCTTTGTGAAAATTATAAAATGATTTAGATGTATTATATGAAGGTAGATTAGATGTTCAAATAATGTCAATAGACAGTGATGGATCAGAAGAAGCATTAATTATTGTTATATGATTACTATTAACAAAAATTAAATCTAACAATGAATCATGAGTATTAAAAACATTATTGACCTGAAAAAAATTTAGAAATGCAAAGTTTTCAGGGACACATTGCACAAAGGGACCTGGACGAGAAATTTTAGAATATACTAGACCATGACTGTCATTGGACCAATAAATGTTAGGTAGATTAAAGTCTCCACAGAGGATGAAGTTTGCATTTACAAACGAGTTAACCAAATCCTCAACTGTACTAGTATAATTTGCATAGGATATATYAGGAGAATTGGGAGGAAAATAAGCACCACCAACTATAAAAGGTTCATTGTTGATACTAAAGCTAATAAACAGGTGTTCAATATTGTTACAGCTAATAGGAATAATTTTTGAGGGGAAATCTATGTGTATTGTAATAAGTACTCCACCACCTCTTGAACAAGAACTGGTTAAGCTATTCTGTCACATCTATAAATAATATAATTATCAAAACCTAATTCAGGATCATAAATATCCGGACGAGGGATTAAGCCAAGTTTCAGTTAAGATTATAAATACAAAATTATTACTGACTACATTACATTTAAGGGTTGACAATTTGGTTCGTAGACCACAATTTTGGTAGTAACCAGTAAGAGTAGATTGAGTATTAACAAGAGGAATATTTACAACACATTTATTATTTTTATGCTTATTAATAAATTCAAAACAGTAATCAATAGTGGAAGAAGCTTGGCAACACATGTAGCATGAGGGGTCGACGTTAAGAGATGAATGTTGGCAGTCAGTTGAAATAAATGGAGATTCGACTAGTCAGTTACTTTTTGTAAGATGAGGTAGTATTAGTCTTGAAAACAGACCTATAAGTAACTGGAKCAATAGAAGGTAGTCCATTCCTGTATTTGACCATAATATTGGATTCACCGTTCTTTTTACGTTCCTCAAGTTTGTATAAAAACGACGTATATGTTTTCTTTCCAATAGAGTACGATCACGTACAACAGCAATAGGAATAGAATGAGATCTAGMATTACGCTTACAAACAATGAACTCATTAATAAAAGTAGAAGCAAGCTCTTTAGAAGAAAAAATAACTTTTAACGGCCTCAYTTTATTGCTTCCTCCACCACCGAGCCTAAATAATTTGACATCTAGTGGGAGAGATAACGTTAGTTGGGCAGTATCCGATAGCCTTTTTAAATCATCAGCTATTCTGGTATTTGCTAAAGAAGCCGTAGATTCAGGAAAAATAGGAAAATAATAAAATAATATTAAAAATCATGTGCTAATGAAAATAAAATGTTGAAAGGTTAAAATTTTCAGAAAAATAAACTCTATAAAATAGGTATTTTTATTTTTTTTGAAAGATAAAAAATTTAATTTAACTAATTTTAATAATGTGATTATTCAAATAATTGCTGTAAAAATAATTGTGATAAATTATAACAAATTTTACATTTATCAGTAATCTCTACCTATTTGTTTTTTATATTTTTTCTTTTCGATTCACTACATCTAAAAGTTAGATAAAAGCAAAATTTTTGTTTCATGTTTTTAGCTTTTATAATAAAGTGATAAAGTTTATTTCATAATATAATTGTACTTTGCATCTGATAAGTCTGATTTTATTTTTATTTAAATTTTCTACCAATTCAATATTCCATATATTATTTGTACTACAATCGTAGCAATTATAATAAGTTATTATTAATAACTATTTCAAACAATACAATTCTGTATGTACTGTACTACAACAATACTGTATAATGTATAATATAGATGCGTATATAGGTGAGTCCTCACCATAGAATCAAACTTAATTATAATAATAATTGTATCTTAATTAAACTTCATTGGCTTAACACCAGTTATATAATATTATGTTATACAAAATATGATAATAATTTATGTGTRAATGTGTAATAATGAATGAAAACTTTTTTGATTATTATGCACAACTTGAAATTTTTTTTAATAGCGTCAAATGTAATAATGACTGCAGTTTGTCTCAAAAAAATAAAAAAAAAACATACTTTAGTATATTATTTATAATATGTTTATAATTAATTAACTCATTTTAACTATAAAATGCATATATTTGTTTTTTAATTTAATAATTTACTCTAGGAAAACAAATCTAATTGATACAATATAATGTTTACTAAAATTTAAATATAGGTATAATGTATATATAACTTCTGAGCGGAGTGATGAATGTATTGGTTTTACAATGATGTGTGTGTGTTTTTTTTTTTTTTATAGATAACTTTATAGAAAACATGAAGCATCATTATAGAAAAAATTTTAAGTGTGTTAGAATTTTAAATTTTTACGAAATAGCGTAACGATAACGATTTATCCTCAAACGATTTTAAATATTTGTATTATTCAAAAAGTATAAGTCGTAGATACTTGAAATTTTTACCAGTTATTTAGATTGGCATTTTATTTACATGATTTAATTTTCAAAATAATTTGATTTTTTTAAGATATATATAGACAACTGAAATTTTCAATTTTTCTGAAAAATTTATTTTKAARTGTCGATAAAATTGTTTTGGTTGTTTAAAAATACTTGAAAATTTAATACAAAGTTCCTCATA